CTGCTTCCCATGGTGCCTGTTACTTCAACACAACTAGTTTGTTCTGATTTATTCTTGATAAATCCATGCTGGAATGGCCATTATTCCCTGGATACTTTCTAGATGGTTTGTTTTTCCCAGCAGTTTCTCAAGACCTGAAGTCTGACCAATTAGAAACCTCAGGTTTTTGCAATTTTGGGGGTTTTGTCAAGGAGTTTTTTTGGCAGGTGGGGGGGTAGGGAGGGTGGCGGGCAGCAAAGAACAGAATTTGCCATTTTCCAGCCTCCTGTAATGCCACTTGTCATGTCCCCCCCTGCAACGGTGGGGGGTCAGACTACTCAGGCTGACGTGTTCTGGGGTAAAAGTTATCAAGCTCAGCCAACCTGCAAACCTCTAACTGATTCATAGACATCATCTTAAAACTTCTAAAGCTAGTTTCACTAGCTAGTTCCCCACTACATTTCATGCACTGCAGAGAACATAACAATGACATATGCTATACCATTATCTTTCGACTCTATGCATGACAAGTTTTTCCTGACAATTTCTCCAAACCTGTACCTTCCAGCTGCAGCTGTTTTCTTTCAGGCCAAGGAACCTGGAAGCAGCAAGAACTCGTACACACAACACATTTGTTTCCATGCTACATCAATATATTGCCCTCATGATGTATAAAAGGCAGGCCCTTGAAAACAACCTAACTTTAGAGAGGGAAAAAAAAAAAGTAGATGTTATTTTCAGGAAAACACAAACCATAGCCTCTCTATACCGATCAAGCATCATAGTACTGCAGTACCTAAAGAGTTAACAATCGTAATAAGCCCTGGATAAGCTTTCTGTAGAAAGATTGTTTCTTCCTCTTTATTTGAAGTATAAATTTGTTCTACCATGAGATATTCCCAGTATACCCACGAACCATGACAAGCTAAGGTCACTGAATTGCACAAAGTTTAGTTTTCAAGGTTGGCAGGTTTGGTTTTTTTTTTAAAACTAAAAATAAAAGAGTTGGAATTTGTGGTCATGGTCAAACAGTGATAAAATTAAGAACAGATAAAGCCACAAATAAAATATTTTGAGACTTGTAAGCTTAGTTTTGTTGAAGGAGGGGAAGTAGTGCCATTTAATCAAAAGCACAAAGCATCAAGCATTTGTTACAGTGAACAGAGAAGCCAAGGCTCAAAGAGGTCTGAAATTCAGTGCAGAAGACTGCTTTTCTAAAGCACAGCCACAGTGCAGGAGAGATGGAAACAAAGGAACAGAACATTCATTTTCTTAGAAGTGTTTGTTACAAAAATACATCACTTGCAATGAGACATGCTTTGCAACTGCAATACATAGCGATAATATTTAGGACAGCAGTAGCTGCTACATGAGTCTTCAACTCAATCATCACCATTTGAAAATGCTCAGGGCTCAGCAGGAGTATAACTACACCTTACTCTCCCTCAACTTCAACCAGACCCAGCAAAGCACATCCATGATAGCCAAAAAGTTGGCTTGTTATTCAATAGATAAGAATTTAGCTCTTAGCATAGCTTTCAAAGTAAACAATCTTTTGATACGTGAAAGTGCTTGGAGCCTATCCAAAAAGTTCCTGCCAGTTTTTTTTTTTTTCTTGCTTCTTGTTCAGAATGGATTCATAAGCATTACTTAGGTTGTTTTGGTTCATCAAATGTTTTTAAGGCTATTTTGGAGTATTAAAGAGACCCTGCAGATTTTTTTTTAAACAATTGAAGAGAACAACATTAAGGTACATACGCCAGAATCAAACAATGCTTATCATTGTTGCATTTGACAAATGCTCCAAATGGCGCAGTCAGAAAGAACTTGAGCAAAAAGAAACCTTTCATCATATAAAATAATGCTGTCATGCCACAGCCTGCCTAATGCCCAATGGGTTTCAGAAGAACCACCCTTTCAAATACTTCACAGTTTTGAAGTTTTAACATCTGACCAGATAAGTCCTGTAAGAGACCAAGGAAAAAAGATGATGGCAGAAGCTCACTTGGCTTTGCAGAGTGAGCATGTTAGTCTGGGGAAAATCCCCATTTGGCAGGAAAAAAACCACACTGCCAAGCACTGGGAGCCTGATTACCCAGAGGTGATGCAAGGGAGAACATGGTAATTGCTCTGGAGACTGCCAGGCCAAGAAGGGGCAGCTCATGGGAGTAAAGCAAAGCAAAGCAGGACATGTCAGATGTAGCAGAAGGACTGGGGACTCTGCAAAGCAATGGAGTGAGCGAGCTTACACTAAATTAGAAGTGACTGCATCTAGCTATGGTCAACTGGTATCGCCCTGAGACACCAAGAAGAAACATGACAGAGTCTGCTCCATTACAAGTCTTACTTTTAAATGCATCGTCTTGTCAGGATTAACTTGATGTCTGTGATTAGCCAGAAGATTTTAGCCTGAGAAAGTTCTTATTCAAAGGAGACAAGTGATAAACAAATTTGTACTAAAATAAAACTAGAGCTTGATCACTTGCTGCAACAGCCTACAGTTTCCTTTTATACAGGGCAAGGAATGGTTTGTAATACTTGGTGACAGCACACAGCTGCTTGCTGAAGGGCATGAAGCTGTATGGAAAAACAAAAAAATCCAACTCTTCCGTGATATTTTAAGGGGCCTCTGGGGGTCTCTTGTCCAGCCTCCTATTTGAAGTGGAGCCATCACCAATGCTAGATCAGGGCCATTGTAGCTTTGTTGAGCTAAGTCCTGAACCTTTTCATGAACAGAGATCCACCAGCTCTCTCATAAACTGTTCCCTGTCCTTTGCCACCTTCCTTGTGAGCAAATTTTCCCTGAAGCCCTTCCAGAACCTCCCATACTACAACTCAGAGCTGTAGCCCCTTGTTCTATTACCTAGGGCTTGACCCCACAATCTTGTAACTACCCTCCCAAGAGCTGTAGGCTCCCATTAGATCACCCTGCACTTTCTCTTCACAGGCTAAACCAGCCCTGCTCCCTCCAGCTCTCCTCATAGCTCATATGCTCTAAGACCCCAACCACCCTGGACTCTCTCCAGTTTTTTAGCATCTCTTAAACCAGGAGGCCCAAAACAGGACACAGTATTTTAAGTGCCAGGCCAAAGAGGTAATGCTTCCCTCAATCTGCTGCTCATGCTCTTCCTAAGGTAACCCAGCATGTGGTTTGCCTATTGCATGATGAGCATAGCATTGGCTCATACTCAATTTCATATTCAAAGAAAGAAGTCAATTTATGATTCATATACTGGGTTTTTAATAACGCAAATTGAGTGCTAAACAGCCAGAGGCTAGAATCCATTAACATATATTTGAGCAGTGCCTTTAAAGAGTCATCGTGGACAGAAAGTCAAAACCAGCATGGATAAGCAGAGGATAATACTGGAGGCCCTTAGAAGTTCACATCACACTGATATGTATGGGCACGACCACTCTTTCCAGTCTAAAAACAGTTGATTGGCTTTGAGGTCAGAAAGATGAGACTGCATGTGTACAGGAAACCAAACAAGGAAAGTCTCTGCCCCGAGTGCCAGCTTAGTCACTGAGAAGTTTGTCCTAAAGTACCCTACCAAATCCCATTTCACTCTGCAGACCTCCTCTCACCCATGAAAATGATGAGACAGAGAAGCAATTGCTACAGAGAGGCTGCTTAGCATGCAAATAGAAGGCACTGATCTTCAGATGTGTTCTTCAGACCCTGCAAGCCAACACATAGAAAATGTGAGTATGAATTCATGACTGCATGGTCAGTATCAAACAGCTACGGTACAATACAATTTAGGCAAGATGGGAACCTCAAACAATGGCAAAAGTGATGACAGTCACATGGATTTAGATGCTTAAGAGTAGCAAAAATCAAGATAGAAATGTGAGCCCCAATTTGGATGGCAACTGGGGAAGACGGCTGCATAGCAAAGGTTACAAAAAAAATGCTTGCGTCATTTTAAACTCCAACAAGAGACACTCCCAATATGATGACAAGCAATAATCTGTGTTGGCATCGATCTCTGTCAGTCAATACTTAGAAAGGAATATACCACAAGAGTTGCCACTGCCTCAGATTTGTCACAGAGGTTAGCAGAGCAATCCTGTTTTCATCCAGACCTTTCCCCTTTGAGAGTCAGCTAGCTGACTGAAAACAGCAATAGAATCAGAAGTTACTGAGCAATTTATTAACTAGCAGAACAAGTACCAAATGTTACAAATACAATAATCATTGATTTAGAAGGTACTTTACCTGTAAAGGACCTCAAACTAGGTTAAAAGAAATTCTTAAAATATTTTCATTCAGATCTTCTGGTGCTGAAGAGTGCCTTTCAAGTACGTTATGCACTCAACCATTCTGTGGGTGTTCACATGGTCACACCACAAACTAATATTCAATCTACTGGTATAAATGAAACCCAGAAAGAGTAGTGCAAGAGGACATTTTGTACGCACCCTGGTTCACAGTTTTCTGGCAAGTCTCCATCTGCATTAATGATTCCCAGTTGTTAATTCCTTAGCCCTCCCAGCCTTGGCATCCCTTATGACTTCTACATGTTCTCATCTCAGCAACTTCTTGTTTACATATGTTGCTCCTGCTCAACTGCAGAGACCATAGGAAGAGATTTGCTTGTGAAGGAACTGCAACTTTTTTTGAATTTACAGCCCTTCTGCTGAGAAGTAAGACCTTATCACACGGGCGCTCCTCAGCCATTTCAGGATAAGAAAATGAGGTTTTCTTACCGAGAGAAGGCAAAACCAACACCACAGGAAAGCAACGAAGAGCCACTGGGCAGGCTTCTTATGGTTACTAACTGTTCTATATCTTCAGCTTTTCAGTACTAGAGATTTGGAGTTACCTGAACAGCAGTTGGGTTTGTTCCCAGCAAGCTGGGCTGATGGAAGGAACACACGTTTTTGGGTTCCCACACAAAGATAATTCCCAAGATTTGAATGAGTGCCGATAAGACAAGTGTCGCACAGTTTAACAGATGTGGCCCTTCAGAATGAGAGCAGGAAAAAGCGAGGCAGTATATTTAACCCTGCAGTACCTGACTGGAAGACGTATCTGGCTAAGCCTTGCATTAACTCTGCTGGCCACGTAGGTGGTGCCGACTCCCCCGTTTCTCTCTTTAGTCGAAACGTCAGCTCAAATCCAAAACCACTTGGTCCATCTGTTCCTGTAAACCTGGAGGGAATGAAAAATAAAAAGTCATGACATACTTCTTGTAACCAGAGCAGGCTTCAAGATTAGGACCATGGAAAAAGGATGAGTGTTCTCCTCATAGAAAAGATAAGTTTAGAAATTCTCTTATTTCAGTCTACTCTAATTCAAATGGCGCAACATTGTTAGGTTAGCTGATGTAATACAATTTAAAAGATAAGCATCATAGTAGTGTTTTCAGTCAGAATAATGCAGCCTTGAAACCATGACTTCTTTCCTGGGACCGGTGGGATTTTCAGCAATTTGTTTTTAAAACATGATTGTAAGTTTTGCACTGATAGCTAAATAGGAACACCAAAGAAAGTGCATAACAAAGTAATGTTATTCCACCCTTGTGAATTTGAATTTCTACACATTGAGAAGTGGGATGCAACTAAAGTACTGGGTAGTAGGTTTCTGAGTTGAAACAGTTGAATATTTTGAAGTACAGCACACAATTTCTGCATTGCAGGTGGTCAGCAGGGGAGAGGGAAACAAGAAGATGCAGGCAGGAAATTAATAACCTCTCACACAATGCACTAATTCTCATTTTGCTCCAATATATACCTGCATACATCCTCCTTGTGTATCTAGGAGGATAACAGTGGAAAAGCATTGAATATGACAACTACTGTTCAAGAAGCAGTAGTTTGGCCATTTCCCCATTTGGCAGAGATAGGTGCCTATTTATTTGGTTTGGTCAGATAGGGTCTACCCAGGAGAATAAAGTCATAATTGAAGTATCAAGGCTATAGCAAAAAGGAGTAAATAAAAGGATACCCCATACTACTCTTTGTTTCAAGAAAACTAGTCCTCAAGAATCCTTTTTTAAAATATTTAAACATATGGGAAATTTCCTGTTCCAAGTTCCCAACAGCTAAAAATGCCACATTTGCCTGTGAAGAATGAGAAACCTCATGGACAAATACACAAACTTACAAACTTGCAAGCTGTCATTGCATCTCTCACTCATTTGCTGAGGCTGTTCCACAAAGGCAGAGGAAAGAAGGAAGGATTTACACTGAGCATAAAGGCACCTTACAGAAGCTTTCATAAACCAGTATCATTCTGCAAGTTCAAATCTCCAACAACTGCAGCCATTGCTAAATTTTCTGGAGAAACTTTGTGAATGTCTTGGATGCTGGTACCTTGCTGGCACATATGAAAGATACAAAGCACAAAGCATTAACATTGTACTCCTCCTAAAAAACAGTAACAGAGAAGTGAGGAAAGTAATGAGTGCACTTTCCATTCGAAAAACCGCAGTGCAGTGACCAGCTCCAAGTGTTGAAGGATTGTTCCAATAGTAAGGAGTTTGTTTTGAAGCAGAAATGCTTTATGGTGACCCTGCCTAATAACAAGTGTTAAAACTGATCAGACTTAAGCATCAATGCAACTCCTTCAGCATGCAATGTAACTTTATTTGAGGATTCTTCAAGTAAAGTTTGACTGTAGTAGACTTTCAAATGATGTAATGGAAGTAGTTAAGAAACGTACCCAAGGACAGAACTAGACTATGGGACAGCCCAAAGAGCAACAGCAATTACAATGCAACAGTCCAAAAGCACCTCAGTTTTATAGTAAGACAATGAACTGAAATGGAATGTGCAGGAAGGAAGCCTCAAAATTAGTATTTTGTCTCTGTGCGTGGCCCCAGGTACATAAACTGAAAGCTGCAACACAGTTTCTGTACTAACAGATCTGAATATTTCACATAGTTTGGTTTAGGCTTGGTTCTGCTGAACCCTGCAGTTTTGAGTGAAAGTTTCTTTTAAATACCCCTAAAATGCTAAGAAGAAAAAAAGTAAAATAAAAAAATAAAAATCTGTGACTGAAAACAAAAGAGTAGGTATTGGAAGTCAGTCAAACATTTGCAATAAAGAGGAGTGAACAATATAGCAAATAAAGTCTTTATTTCATTAGTATGAAAATATATTAGCATGCCCATTTTTGTTTCTTTCCACATTATCCTCAAGGAAGAATGTGAGTTATATACTACAGAAGCAAATTCTCTATGAACAGAGCAGAAAACACATTTCAGAATGGTCAACTGGTACATATAAAACCTCTTTTAGGAAACAAGTGTACCTTTAAGCAACAAATCAAATAATTACATTTGGTTCTTAAACAAAGCAAGAGCTTACTGAATAACCAGCCAGCCAGGGAGTGGAATCTGGTTGTGGAGTGAAACCTGTGTTCTGCAATCATGCATGCAGGTCTACCAAAAAGATTGATACAGGATGGTGATAGCCTCACATATGCAAAGTGGTACTTTGTACATTCAGCACCCCTGTAGTGTTTTATTAGTTTCACACATCAGTTAGCAAAGGAAAAACAGAAATATTTCGTAAAGGGAGAAACAAAAACACTTCAAAGTGGACAGTTTTCAAGGATTGATTCCAGGACAAAGTATACACCAGAAACTGAAACACATTATGAATGGGTCAATTTTAAGAAAGATCAAAGTTAACAAAAAGCCTTCAAGCTGATCTTTCACAGTTAACGTTTTTGGAAAGTAAGATGGCTCCCCATTGAATTTCCTCCTTTCAAGCCACTTTCTGAAACACAGCTTTACTTGTAATATGCATGGAGCTAGAGTTTAGTGGGTTGTTTTTTAACTCCACAGATCTCTCTGCTTCCCAGAAATAACTGTTTAAGAGAAGACCGCACATGCTTTATATTGATCCATATGCAAGTTACTGAGTGACAGAAGCGTTCAGGTGAGTATCTCTCAAATTTAAAGCAACAGGAGCACTTAGGAGAACATTGCTGGTCAGCAACATATCAGTAGTGGCAAAGCTGTAAAACTGACAGGCAAAGTTACTTTACATGAATTTTTTTTGTATGGTAATGAAAAAGACTCTAAAATAGAGAAGAACTACTAGAAAATAAATAGAATAAAAGGTAGGAAAATGAGCAGTAAGTTACTTCCCTTCTAAGATTTAAAAAAATCCCTGAAGAATCAAAAGAGTCTAAAAAATCTAGATACTTCTAAAAAACACTCAAAAAATGCAGCAGCAGCATACAACACTTATAATTCTCAAATTCTTAAATAAACAGCTAAATCTTAGAAAAATCCTATCTGCATGTAAGAGATTTGTATTTAAAGGTTAGATTTAAAATGTTTTTGAATAGTTAATGGTCACAGGTTGCTGAAAATACAACACTGCTTTGTTACAGTGAATATTTAAATACATGCAATTCACCTGTATCGTGCAGCTGTTCCAAGGTAACAGTCTATAAAGTAAAAGTCTTTGATTTGTTTAATTTTAGGTTGGTAATTTGTTTTTGAAGAAACTGTGACACATGTGACTTTAAAAGCTTGCAATTATTTTAGAAATAATTTATGTTTAATTCAGACAAGTCTTTCATAGGAAGAAATATTAATATTCAGAACACAATTAGGATAGTAATTTTCAGTTAGCATTTTTGCCAAAGCTTTTGCTCTTATTCTTCAAAAAAAAATCTTGTATTTGAAAGTAAGTTGAATGTAGTTTCAATAGCTGCCATAAAATTTCTCTCAATGAACAACAGACCATAAACCAGGAGCAGAGCTCCTGCCTGAAGTTCGGAAGACGTACATGAGAATGGAGGCAGACATGAGCTTCAGGAACTAAATAAACCTATAACCCTGCCACATGCCTCTGACCCTTGGTCTAATGAAAATCACAGAGAATCATCCAGTAGCCAAGTTATGCAGCTTGGCTTCTCTTACGGAAGTCCTTTTCACTAGGGAGCAAGTGCTTACACCAGCCCTGACTCCAAAATTTGTGAGGATAAGGATGCATCAGTGCACTGGTGGAGAGGCAAGTAGCAGCCACAGCCAACAAATGCATGGGAAATGAATCTGCCCAGTAAGAAGCCCAAGACTTCCAGATACGCATGCCATACGAATGGAAGACCAAGCAAATGGCTTTTTATCCCCCTCAAGGAAAAAGACTCCTCACTTACAGCTGGGCTGTAAGCAGCTGCTCATTCCCCCAAATCACCTGTGTCCATTTTTGTTCAAGGCCTTACCAACAAGATGCACCTATCATAACCAAGAAACCTCTCCATGATCAGGGAGCTAATAAAGTAAGATTCCCCATAAACAAGTTAATTTTATACCAAGAGGTTTCATTACTTCCATGTGGAAACACTGGATTCCCATGGCAGCCTCCTCCCTGTAGGGTACACCCCTACTGCTTGGGGTTATGTCAGCAGGCTGCTGAGGAACTGGACAAAAAAGGATCACACCTTGCAGGCTTGTAGATGTTCAAGCTCATGGTCCTTCCCCACAAGTTCCCAATTTTCACCAAACTTCCAGAAAACTTCTAAAAAAAGTCAACCACCTTCAGCCAGCCACGGTCAACCAATAAGCTAAAAAAAAAAAAAATATAGTTCCAGAAGAGACACACTGAACAAGCCTCATTTCCATAGAAAACTGTGTGGAGGGGTGAGGATAACCTACAGATGGAATAAGTCCTGCTAAAGCATACAGAAGCCAGGTTTGCTCATGACCTCTTCCATCGACCCCCCAAGTTCACTGCTACCTGTACTAATTTGTTCCCTTCCAAGCAGGCAGCAAAGCGTCCATAGCAGGTTAGCCTGACCCACTCCTTTGTCAACTGCTGAGGTAACACGTTTTTATTACATACTTTTTGTTCTACAGAAGCAAGATTCTGACACTATTTGGGGTTGGCTTCTTTGTGAGCAAGGGAGGTGGGGACTAGGGTGGTGGTTTTGGGGTGGGTTTTTATGGTTGTGATTTGGTTGTTCTGGTGTTTGGGGTTTTTTTAAATCTGAAGGGGACCAATTCAGACTACAGCCAATTTAGAACAAAGGCTTTGGGAGCTCAGTTCAGCATCTCAACACTTCAGTGCTTTGCTAGTAATTTCTTCAGCAAAACAATTACAATGCAGCAGTCCAAAAGAGTCTCACCTCATCTTTACAGTAAGACAACGATCTGAAATGGAATGTGCAGGAAGGAAGCCTCAAAATTAGTA